GAAAGAGGAGGAGAAGGGACCTTTCCCTGCTCAGTGGCTGCCTGCAGTTACAGTCTGTAAGGTGTAGTCAAAAACACAACAAAGAAAACATTTAGTTGCAAATATTGACAAAAAATTGAGTTCATCCTACATAATACTGCTCACTAGTAATGACTCACGATATGAAAACCACCAAAGTTTAAAAGGCATTTGCAGAACCTGCAATTAGAGCAAAAATACAGCACTTTTTATATCAAGTAGTTAGAGTTGCTCTGGCAGTCAGAGACTAGAGATAACCCCTAGTGTAATTTTACAGAATGAATCCGAAGTTTAAAATTAAACTATAATAAATAATTTAAATCATAGTTACGAACAATTTTGCAAGTCTTCCCTTCCTATAGTATATATGAAAACAAGACATATTTCTGCATAAGTTGAGGAATGAAGAGCTGCTTCTTGTTATTTTAATAAAAAATACAGTGTTTGAAGTTACACTTATAAACATCAAAACATAAGTGTACATCCATCGGACTGAACATTTTTTCCTACGTAACTGTGTAAAGGTTTCAAAAATAGTTTGTCACTTTACAGCATTTTTTAAAAGAACATCCTTTCAAAGGAATATATGTCAACAAGTACAGGTAGGAAGAATACAATTGAGGAGACCACAGTGAACAAGATATAGCCACCTGAGCTACTGTGAAGGAGTGCAGGCCTTGGGTTCAAATCTCCAACAAGATCTCCTCTTTCCCCGCAAAAAGCAGATTTATGTATTATGGCATACACAATGCAGAGGATCTAAAAGCACGTTTTTGTCCTTAGTATGAGCCCTCTTTGAAGGGTTCTGATAGACCTTGATTGGCAGCATCGTACTGAGCAATGAAATGTTTGAGTTCTTCAATGCATCGCTCACCTATTTCATGCAAATTCTGCCTCAGGGCAAACTGAATGGACTTCTCTAATGATGGATCTTTATCAATTAGCATCTTCACTACCATGCCAAAGGTTTCACAGTCTTGTCTGTAGACCTAGAAACAACACATTTTAGAAAATGATTAAATGCAAAAGACTCTTTACATTAGCACACCAACAGCCCTCATTGAGTTAGGTGCTACTGCAGATCCAAACCAAACAAAGAATATTAGATTTCACATGAATTTCAACTGTAGGACGTATTTGCCTTTTCCTCTCTTCTGACCTGTGCTAACACAAACGTAACTAGTTCAGAACTATCTGGATACAAGAAATAACTCTTATTGGAAGAAATGCCTTAAAAAGAGAAATTAAGTTCCTCCTGCAGCAATATTTAATAAATAACAGCAGAGCAAAATGCAAATGCTAAACCAGATTTTCATTGCAAATATATGTAAAATTAATTTAACCGTGACATGTCTAGCAATCTCCATCTTTATACAAAGCAACAATAACTTAGTTTGTGATCTTTCCTAATACTTTAAATACAAGTTACGTTTAAACAACTTCACCAAATTATGTTTATTTGTTGGATATCTCTTTTTGTCAAAGTCCTTGACAAATACAACTTTAATCAGTTTAACTGCATTGGTGATTCAACCACTAAGGATAAGAGAAACCTTGGCAGCGGTTTGCATGAACCCGTCTGATCTTGCACTGCAGGGAATGAAGAGTTTACAAGTCAGTTATATACCACAGTTGAGGAGAAGTAACTTCTCGTTATCGCTGCAACTGTTTTTCAAACAAACATCTGACTATGCTCTTAGGCGGTTTTCAAAGAGAGTCAGTGGCCTTTCAATTATTTTTTTTTCCAAATTCCAGCTAAGGTTATTAATCTAACCATCCACCAAAAAAGGAACTTGTCAAATTCTTCCAACTGCCAGATGCAGTTCATTTTCACACCTCTTTGGCCAATTTCCGTTTAGAAAATACACTGGCTTTTTGAATGAAGATAACTCAGTTTTATACCTCTGTACATTTTTTAGGAGAAAAAAATATCTAAAATGTTGATATTCCTCAAAGTATGATTATTTTTTATTATTGTGTGCTTGTGTTAGAACTTGTTTTTTACAGAGATATGTGACCCTTTCCTCCCATATTTATTTATATTGAGGACACAAAGGATACAACTGTATATAAGCAATTCCCCATTAGTAAAAAAGAAAGAAAAAAACAAACAAAAAAACCCCCACAACCAAACACCACCACACTGTTTTATTCATAAGGACCAGTCCAAAGGCAGCTCAAGCATATTCATGTCAGAGAAGCGGGGGAAAAAAAATACATTCTGCACACAAATTAAACTATTCTCAGAAACACAATGATTTAACATGATACCTTTAATAAAGACAGTTCTCAAATGTTTGATAGTATATTCTATAATAATAGTTTAAAATGAGACCCACTTTTCAAACACTGGTTGGCAAATAAAAGAAAATCTTTTGGAAGAAACTAATTTTCAACAGAGATTAAGAAGTCAAAAGGAAGAGTGCAGCCCAAAACGAACTGGAGCTAAACATCTTAAGTGTGGAAACAGTGTGCGCATGGCATTTTTTTCTGAGAGGGGGTTTGTCTCCTGCTTTGTGTTTAGTTCTTTGGTAGTAAAATATCAGCAAGAAACAGAGCTCTCAGAGTTCATGTTCCACAGCAAGTGAAACACGGTACTTGCTAAGAGAACTTCAAACAGAGCAAATTTGGGTTTCTTTTTTTCTGACTCTTTCCAAGGAAAAAGCTCCGGAAGAATTGCTGTATCTGATTAACCATATGACAGACAGATGGTATTTCACTTTGGATAACTCTGGCCTTTCACATCCTTGCAGCATGCTTGCTAGCACCTTCACAGAATGATTCCTGAAAGGTTTTTTCTCCCCAGAGCCATTATGTTTTGGGGGAAATAGTTCAAAACCTTTTTTTTTTTCCTTATTGCATCTCTATTTGTCCTATTGTATCACCTTTGAAGTGGTCAGACCAAGGATGTGTGAATGATCTTCCACAGGTAAATGAACCCGGTACCTGTCAGTCTTCAGAGGACGCTGTGCAACACCGGCATGAGTGAAACCCTGACACTAATCGAGAACACAGACACATCGCCCCATCCTCTGCACGGGAAGGCTCCAAAAGCTATAACTGAAGGAAATGCTCTACTTTTAATTGGTCTTCAAATTAATGGCAAATAGTGCTATCTGCTATTTCTCTCACACACCACAAAGAGCTAACCCAGATGAGATTCTCTGACCCTTAGCATATAAATATTAGCTCAATCTAAGCACATTTTTCTTCAAAACTTTCACAAAAGAAGACTTGGAGGATAATCAAGAGAGCCATCGTTGCCGCTGCGTCTGGAGTCAGAAGTCACTTTGCTGTCACAACAATCTGGAAACTAAACATCTTCATACATGAGATGAACTTTTTCAATACTTTCTGACAAAAGACTTCAAAAAATAGAATTGACCTAAACTAGGGGAAGAGGGTGAAGGTGGAGCAGGAAGGCAGTTCTAACAACAGAAAACAAAGGAAACGGCTCAGCTCCTCCAACAACAATTGAGCAATTTTCCCTCAAGAAGCTTTCTACCCCAGCTGCTAATTCTGATCCTCCTTGTGCAATCTGCCGCCTTCTCAATTGTGCTGATAAACCTATTTGTATAGCTGCGACGTAAATTGCATCACTGAGATGATCCCTTTTAAAATTACTTCCTCCCCAATTAATGTGATTCAGTGATTCAATTCTAACACCAGATGCATCAGCACAACTGAAAGAACTGTGAGCCACAGTCGTGAAGTGAAAATAACTTCATAAACCAGTTTATATCTGAAGCCAGTGCACGACTAACAACCTCTGAGAGAAGTTATTATGTTTTGCTGAACAGAGTAGAGACTATCAATTACAAGAATACCAACTACTGCTTAATCAACTATTTGAAAAAAATACAACCCACTACTTAACAAAAATTGTGAAAGCACTCGAAGCTCTTGAAAAAGAGGATGGTGGCGTGGCATATTAAAATCCATCTTTCCAGAGAAGAGAAGGAGGCTATTTCTGGAAAATAAGCTGGGAATAGGATGCTTAAGGAAGAGAGAAAACTGCAGAAAAGACTCCAAACAAGCAAAAAAGCTCTCTGTCAGAGAAAAATACTGGAAGAACTTGTGACCCAACAAGGTCTGAAAATATCCCTATCTTTAAAATTCCAGCTGATACTGATTTTGAGCTCAGACCATGGAAAGCTCATCTGTAAACATCTGGAACTAAAACCTGAAAATGATTCCATGTGTGGGGAAAGAAGGAATAACATTTTTATCTTGAAAAACAAGAAAGGAAAAGATACCAAAGACATGATTATTCTGTCTGATATATATGTCAGGTAATCCTGAAAACAGCTAAAGCCATAGGGTGATCATTTGCCAAGGCCACAGCATACTTTTATTCTCTGACCTAAGCTACAGCACCAGCATAATGGAAACAACATGTAACACTTTAGTAAGCAGACGAAGGAGAAGCAAAAACAGCTGTTCTATTCCCAAATATATATTTATATTTATTTTATACACATGCACACACAAAATATATATATAGTCTTGGTTTTCCTACAAATGAGAAGTATATAAGCTGAATTCATGTTCTCTTTGAAGAGTTTTCCAAAATCAGCACATCTGGCATCTGTAAGTTCAGAGGATCACAAATATGCCTACTTTTATATTATTCTCATGGCTTTTTAGCTCTTCTGATTCTTACATGATAATAGCATAGAAGCTCTGGCTAAGATCAACTCTTCAGTGTGCTAGTCTCTGTATAAACACTTAGGTTTTGTCTAGATGCAAATCTAAAGGTGTGATGCACCTGCAACGTTAGTGAACACTCCTCATGTATTTGAGAAAACTAAACCAAAATTTGCACTGTTAGAACTGTTTAAATATAGCTAAGAGACATTTACTTCCAGATCTAGCTAGAGCAATGGAGATGTTAGTCCCCTAGGTTGGAGGTGATCATCAGTTGGAGGTGATCGAGCCCTAGAACTCACCAGGTAGAATGAAACTTTTGAGAATTCCCTAATCTGCATCTGTGCAAAGTTTTCACAGTTAACCTCAAAGCGCCATCAACAGTGAATTAAATTACAGTGTATGACACTGACATGGAAGCGATGAAGGATACCGCACATTCTCTTCTTCCAGCTCAGCTTTGGGACATTAACCTCTGGCGGGAAGAAGAGGGGCAGAAGCAAGCAGACGAGGACTGCTCATTTCTTAGACTGCTACATCCCTCCTGCGATGATCATCTAAAAATGGTCTTGGCTTAAACCAAAGAAAACATATTGAATGGGTTAGGTGATGGGTGGAAAACACCATCACCAAAATGTGGTTGTACCTCTGAACTCTGGGCGTGGATGAAGTTATACCTAGCTAGGGAATACCTTGACGATGTATCTACTACTCACTGACAAATTCCGCATCGTTTCCTCTCCATGCCTAGCCCAGCCCCGTGTTCTTCTCCAAAACTATTCCAGAGCTGCCTGTGTATTTTGCGCAACAGAGCTGTTGGACAACATAAATGGTAATGAGAACAAAAACTAGAACTTAAGACGTCCTCCCCTGCAAGTGACTACAGTCTGCAGAAGAGTCAGAAACTTTGCCATCTTGGTCTCAAAGTCTTGCATACCTGGCCAAAAAGGAGCTTCATTTCAACAGCAAGAGTAGATACAATATTCAAAGGGGACAAGGCCAGGAAAAAGAGAGAAGTTAAAATGGAGATATTCACAACCCTTATTTCAAGCCATTCACGAAGTTTCCTCAGCTTAGCTCTACAGTCTCTGCAAAGAAAGGCTTTTTAACTGCTCAAGGTGATTTAGAACAGCTAGAACTACAGCTTCTGCTCTATGCAGCCTTTGAAGAAGAGGGAAACAAGACAGAAGTTCCCTGATAATTGGAAAGACCTCCAGGAAGACTGGTCCCACCAGGCTACAAGTTAGCCCCTGTATCTCCCATGTCCACAGCTGGTAGAAAGTACAACTGAGTAGCAAATGGGAGATGCAAATTTCCCCTCTCTCTCAGAAATGACTAAACT